ACCAACTGGCTTCAGCGGCTCTCAGTTGTTTACAGGAAGCCCATGAAATGGAACAGGTTTAATTTGTATGTTGTATTTTATGACTAACTGGAAGCTGGAAACAAAACTGCTATTTGAAGATAATAAACACACTTTGAACCTTAAAGCTTTCAGGAAATTTACTTCTGTTCCTGGTACTGCCCCACCCTCAACACAGGCGAAGCTTTGCTTCCTTTAAGGAAAGCTGTGCCTTAGTCTCTAATGCTGATCTTCAAAGCACTCGTCCATTTGAAGAAACTGTAAGTATGCTTTCTTTTCTTGTTTGGAGGAAATGTCCTGTTTATTTCTGCTCTCTGAAGCTTAGAGAACAAGTTCAGTTATTATTTCAGCACAAAGTATTATCTCTACTGTCTGAAGACTAATCAACAGGATTTATAGGTTAGTTTGAGTTTGAACAGCATAATGAACATCTAATCTTTAGATGGGATTTTTAGATGTGTAGAGCACTGTTGACCAGATCAGTTTCATGGCTTTAGATGATCTGTCAAAAATCTAAATATGGGAAAGCTAAATAAAATAAATGTCCAAGTTTAAACAACCTTTCAACTGCCAACCAAACATGTTAGACTCCAGCAACAACAATGTCTAAAGGCTATGCGGTTGTTTTGATAAAGTTAAAATCCATTTTAAAGCTGAATCCTCACTTGAGAGTTTCTGGAAGTGTGGATTTTTTTGGATCATATTAAATGTGTTTCCTGTGTTATTGTGTTTTAACAGTGGTTCGTTTGATAAATGTTTAAGCAGAACCTTTGCGGTTTCTCTGTCAGGTGTTTTCATTGTCTGTGGTTTATGGTGGCTGTAAAATATCTTCTGTTCAGAGAGCAGATTTAAATAACAACCGATTACCTTAGGGTAAGTTAAACTGGACCATGGAATGGTAATGCCTTTTAATTTCTTAGGATGAAGTATTTCAAATTAGAACTAACTTGTCATGCCGTCGTCCCCTACTTTTTCAATCAGGACAGGGTCTCGGGACCAGCAGTCTCTCAGACTTCCC